TCCAGTAAATTCGCATCAATTTCTAGAATATTTTCTAACACATCATACACGTGCAAATCAGCAAAAGTCAGATGATTCCCGATGAAGAATGTACCACCTTCACTGTAGGTCTTGGCCAAAGTTTCGAGATTACGTAAATGCTTTGGTAATTCATTCGCGAAGAATTTATCTATACTTGCTTTTTTTTGAGGTTCTTCTTCGTACCAAATAATCGGTCCGAATTTATTAAGAAGATCTGTAGCTGTATCAGCAACGGCTTCGGCTTTTGCTTGTTCCAAATTGTCTTTGCCTGCTAGATGAAATTGACGAGCAAGAAATCGAGCAATAGTCATTGATTGTGGTAATTTAACACCATCGATTTCGAGTACCGGCATCTGACCGAGAGGCATTTCGGACTTGTGTGATGGCCATTCTTTCTCCGAATATCTTACATCTTCAAACTTTTGTCCAGCAGCAGCCAAAATAAGTCGAGAGATTTCACCACGAGCACGACCGTCGAAATAGTATAGTTTGTAAGTCGACATTTAATGTCTGTGTTTAAGTGCGAAGACAGAAAGAAAAAAGAGTGCAACGACAACGTGTCGTATTTGAATAAATAGCGCTATATATATATATATGTCGAGCAGCAATGATAAAGAGCATGAAAGGACTCTTGCCACGTCATTTCTGTCTGTCCAATGAGAGCGTGAACGAAGGAGAAAGAAGAAACAATCAAATAATACCACTTCTTTTTCTTATTTTCTGTCGAAATCGTACATACACAGTGAAAGAGAGCGTTAGTCAAAAGTCTCAGTGGAAAAATTTTAAAATATAAGTCGCTAGTGTTGATACGAACCACGTAGATGTCAGATACTGAAGGTTGGCAACTTACAAAAAAACTTTCTTCAATCAAGGGATACTTGGCTAGACCAATTTTAAGAGGCTTCGATGTCACGAGTATCTATAAATAGTTAACAAAATAACATTTATCTCAAACATGGAACTGGAAAAACGAAATATTCAAAAATTCTATTTCAGTTTTCAAATGTTGAATACCGCAAAACACCAAGACTAGACTGACAGATATCTATATACTGATCATTAGCATATTTCAGAAAACTCTTATTCTAGGGTTTAAAATCAATGAGAAATCTTTAGATCTTACGAAGTACAAAGAGTCTATTCTAAACGCTTTATTTAAAAATCAAGATTTAATGCCTCATAACTCTGTCATTTAGTTCGGACACAGACAAAATTCGATAATCAAAATTTTTTTTTATTATTATTATTTATTTTTTACTATTTCGATTAGTGTTATGTCGAAATAAGAGATATAGATGACTAAAATCTTACTAATTGTAGCGTAAGAGATGCTCTATTGATGAATGCAAAAATTATTAATTAATCTTTTCAATACGATGAGTAAAATGCTTTAGAATGAAGTTCAAGTTTTCTAGCTATTCGACTAAATTTTTATAAATCTCAATCTGTGCAGCAAATGTTCATAGTTCTCTGGGACAAGGCTATTCTAAATAATCAATGGAACTTTTAGAAAACTAGTTAATGAATGAATTCCTGAAGGTATTTGTTTTGAAGATTGTGAAATAGATATATAGATAGTACTTCAGAGGATGCACGCTAATATTTTTAGTTCGAAGAAACAACAATGCAATGATATTTTAAACTTCGATTTTTGAAAAACATGATGTAATTGATAGAAAAAGAAGTTATACATTTTCTGGTAAATAAGTTTATCTTTATGTTGCATTACTGATGAACTTGTTGAAGATTTGTGTATTGTGTTTGTTACTAGATTGAATTTGTTCTGTTAGGTTGTTGATCTTCAAACTGCTTTACTTATTTTGCAATGTAACATGTCAAGTTTCGATTCACTTTCGAAGTAAATTGATTTGTTTAAAAACAAATTTGAAGTTCTTTTAAATGGTTCAAAAAAAAGCAAAAGAAAGATCGATATATAAAGAAGACAATCAAGTATTACGGTTGACTAAAGATACTTTTCCAAAAAAAAAAAGTGCTTATACAGTGTGATCTTGGTTAGGAAAAAATACTTTCAATACTCTTTTTCTATTATTTTCATTCGTGATAGAATAGCTAACTTACAAATTGATTTTCTACGATTTTATATGTATTACTCAATCAAGTCTTATATATCATCATATATCATTTATAATGGAATTTGGTTCCTTTGTAATATGTAAGATTGTCTTTATTTTGTGAAACTCACATATATTTTCGAAGAAAACGGTACGTGTAAGTTTAACAGCGAGATTTTGTAGCTTCCTATCCCCCTCCATTACACATCATAGCAACGTAGATCCGCATGACAAACGTTAACAATCAAGAAAAAACAGGCGTCAGACTTTCTAGAGTTTCTTTTTCAAAAAATTGATCAAGTTATAATTTTGAAAAATAAGGAATTTTCATTGTTTATGAGTTAATTAATATATATAATAGTGCGTAAGATGTGCTGTAGATACGATAGATATGTAAACCAGATTTATTTGTCAATCAAGTCTATGATTATAAAAATAAGAACGTTATATTAAGAAAAACGAATTAAAAAAAAATGAAAAACCATGAACGAGTAGCAATAATGCAAGCAAAAAATAAGACGTCGGTAGAAAAAATAAAAACTTTCTGTTTGAAGCACAAAAATAAATAAGGCAAATCTTTACATTGATGATCGATTAATCTTCTAACATAACTATTGTGTATGAAGGGTTTTTCACTACACCTATTTTTTATTAATTTAATAAAGCTAAATAAAATATGTGAGTTGCGCACTTGAGTCCCAAATAGGATTGCACTAACAAGCTTTTTAATGAATATTTTCGAAGATGTGTTGCTTAGATTCACTTATACAATACATATTTTCAGTATATGTAACTAGTTCCATTTCATTCGATCCAATAGTTTTGATTGCACCAGCTTTGCTTTAGCTTTTTAAAAGATGGTTCTATAAGTTGTTTACTTTTGCTGTTGTATTAAATTAAGGAATAGGCGTGGGATCCTTATTACTTTGCAAGCTGTTTTTCTTGTTGAAAGATGTTTGAAATATTCTACAAAACGAGCAAGTTGACTATTAAAAGTAATAATTTCTGAAAATGAATACAGTTTGTGTTGCCATAAAAAATAAACATTCCATAGCTGAGAATTATAGTCATTCTAATAGTATATATTCGTAATTAAAACGAAGAAATGTTCAGCTGGTGACCAAGATATCTGTATTGCGGTATTATTACAATGCACAGCGAAAGATGAAGCTCTTCTGCGTCTAGAAATGCAATTTAAGATAATTCAAATAAAAGAACAAAACGCTTGTAAAAGACAATCAGTGGTGATTGATATAATACGTACTATCGTTCACATTTGGTTGACAACATCAACATTAAGTGACACAGAATTGGATACGACATAATAAAAAAAGGGCATAAGGTGACTCTTTTATATATCCTTGTACTATAGATACTGATACCTTATAGCCGCAGAAGAAACTGACTTGTACAACTTTTCTTAATGCTCATTAGCTACAGAAGAAGCAGTAAAGTATCTATTTATTGCACTTTTATTCATGAGTGTCTGATAAACCATCGAGATTATGTAAATAAAAAACCATAAAATCAATAGCTTTGGCAACTGTGCTTATCATTCTGTGTCTACCTATTGTGATCACTTCAGAACTTCCTCAGAATTCGTCCTGTGTTAAACTTCGATCTGGAGGAATCTATGGACATTGAATGCACAGTTTTTATGGAAAGAGGATGGTAGATAGTTGTACTCATACAAAGTGTGTATATTAGTGCTGTTTTTCATAAGCCTTGAAATAATACGGATCATTTTTTTTTGTTTCTTTTATTCTACTATCTTTTTGTCATTCCTCCACTTTCGTGCGGAATGATATCGATGTAAGCAAACGAGAAAAAAGAACATTCTCTTGTTTCATACAATGTTTTCAATTCATTGTTCTTGTAGAATAGATAAATAGCTAATTTCATTTTCTTTTTCGTCGCTTCACTACTTTGCCGTACATGCAAACCAATTTTTTGACATCGGCTTCGCGAATGTTTTCCATCGATTGAATTGTTCATCCCAGATATAGATCAGTCGATCACTGGTGAAGAAATAATGCTTATAACCAGACGTGAATGCTGCTCTAACCGAGCCAGACAAGCCCGGAAATTCTTTGCTGAGTTTTCTTTCTGTCGATTTTCTCTGCAAATTCTCTATATTGAATGATTGCAAGCTCTTTGCTTTGATAACATGGATTTCATCCTGATAGTAAATGGCACCGACAATGGCACTTTGTAAATGAACCGGCAGAGGATCGTCACGGTGATATTTGACTTTATAGGAATGTGGCTGAATTTTGTATCGATAAACTTGTGTACTAGTAAAAATGAGGACCTCATGGGTAACGAAATCGTAAGTACCACCAGATATTCGATTTGGTAAATGCTGGTAGATACTTCGGTAGGGTGTGACTTGTGTGTCCCACTTTTTCTTATTGAGCAAAAAGCGCCTGTGCATTCCGGTATCCAGTGCATGAAATGTATTGTCTGGAAAGTCAAATCCTGCATCGATGAACTGCTGACAAGACAACTTGTTTATTGATGTGGAAGTCTGAGTAGATAGAGTGGTCACTCTCATTTTGGTTGTGGTTTTAGTTATGCGTGTCGGTTGAGTGTTTTTTACTATGTGTATCAGTTGAGTCGTTTTCTTCGTTGTGACCGATTTAGTAGTTTTGAAGGCCGCTCCGTACTTTTGCTGAATCATAATTCGATCGAACTGCGGCAAAATATCATTTTTCTTCATCAGCTGATACCTGGGATACATTATCGAGGTTTTTTCAAACACATGTTCAATGCCGAGTGCATGGCCAATCTCGTGAACAGCAACGACATAGAGATTGATGTTGTGTCCATCGTAACTGTAGAGGAAAAGAACAAACATTTTCAGTGAAGCTGGCAACTGGAAAGGGCAGCGATCTACACGAGAGAAACTTACCTATTTGTCCATGGCTCATCCATGTCGAAATGTATTCGACCATCTTCGGGATAATAGGCATGTGCCAACGTTCCACTCGGTCCATCGAAATGGTAACCATCGCCATGATCTCCATAACCAAAATCGATGACGATATTCGCCGAACACGTCGAACAGACTCGCTTGACATCCAATGGGATATGTTGAGACCAAGCGTCGAATGCTTGTTGAATGATACTTTGTGATTCTGCTGCACCAATACGTGGTGAATAGTTTCTCAGCGACCATGTCAACGTTGAACGTGACCATTTTAATCCTAATGGTCTAGCAATATTTGTCGAGAAACTGAGCGGTGGATCCTTATTACCACAACGTGATCGGCTCATTTCTTGTTTGGTGGCATCGTCCAGAATGCCAGTAATTTTTAAACGAAATCGTTCTTGAAAAATTTTTAAAATACTCTTTAAGTCAAAGGAGCATTGGAAACCAGTTGAATCACTGCATGGATTATAGCCAAATTTGCTGAGGTAAACAACTGCATCACGAGTAGATTGAACAATCAAATTAGTTGTTTTGTTTGTATTGGATAAAACACTAGTGCAACAGAGAAGAACGAATAGTGAGTAGTAGTGCAACATAGTTTTGTGTCAAAACATAAAGAAATAAAAGCATTTTGCTTTTACAATCGATGTCTTATCTCGGTGGCATTTTGGTTAAGACGAACGTGAGGATCAAATTACTGATTCATGTAAAAACAGATCGGATGCTCGTTTTATTTTATTCTTTTGAATTGATCGATAAGTGCTCGGAATGGTTTAATGAATTAGAGAGAGTCCAATATTCGTTATGGGTGATTTTCTGAAGATCGAGTACTTTGTCCGTGGTTAAAGACAAGAAGTCATTGTTCGATGATGAAAAGAAGTGTAAGATCTTAATTCGACTTGAAGTTTATTTCTGTTCATGTATGTATTTTGCAACAATGTAAGGACTACATATAGAACGATACTCAAGCAGATAGACATGTAACTTTTGATACAAATTTGATCTTAACAAAGATATATGCTATATTTTATACAGTTTGTTAGTTTTGTACAGATTTTTGACATCTAAATTTTTAATGATAATTGTTCGCAAAAGAGCTGAAAAATATTGAGCGTCTACTAAACACATTCGAAAAAATAAACGATACACCGACTTCCATGCATTTTTTTTCTATTGAACATTTCTGAAAACTTTATGGGCTATTACTTATTATCAGCTATACTTAATAAATAACAATTTTCCATTTTTCTGTTTTCGGTGCAGTGGCAAGAAGTTTTTTATTACAACATTCTGGTTGTAATTCAACATTTAATTCTATTTTAGTTTCGTAAGGGTATGATAATGTTTTACTATTAGCCTTCATCATAAATTTGTAAAATATAAAGACCATTATCTAGAAGATATAGTTTTTGATAGTATTTAAAATCTTACTGATATAGAATGGCATAGAATAGAAAAATAAAACATTAAATTGTTAGATAACTATGAATATACTTGAAACAATTTATGCAGCCATTGCTCGAGATAGCTATTATTATTTTTCTACACATTTGTAGTGATGGCTAAGTTCAAGACTTCTTAACTCGATTGAATGAAAGAAATAGTCGATAAAGAGCAATACTTTACACTCGATTTCGATAGAGACAATTCTCGAAAAAGCTCGAGCTCACAGCAAAGAAAACATCTCTCCCTTTAGGAAGTATAATTCCTTCGTAGAAAAAATATGTATATATATGAATAATACAATGGTACATGAAGCACTTTCATGGGATCAGTTTTCTAGCAAAAACTTTTTCTCATTTTGGGTGTGCGATGTGATTATGAGTTGTGAGAGTGTGTCTTTCTTGCCTTTTCAACTATACCCACACTCCACATCCAATATCGTGCGCCTGTTCAACTGCTGAGATAATAAATTATAATAATTTATTTCAACTGTTGAATACACAAAAAAAACAGATATCACTTCTTAACAGAGAAGATTCCATGGAGCGGAATTGAAATAAATGTGCATGCTTGTAAAACCACCAGCATCCTTGTATCGCTGTTTCATACACGTCGGAACTGGTTTTAGGAATGTCTAAAGTAAAACACAGAATGTCGAATCTGATTGAAAAAATATTCTTTCACTTAATACGCACACTGATTGCACTGATTGGTGGAAATTCCGTCCGATTTGTAAACTCAAATTTACCAACTACACGCCATCCAAACCCTGTTAATTTGCCTGTTATAGAGAAGAAAAACTGGAAAAAACTCGCTACAATCTTTATCGACTCGATTGTCGTACCAATAATGAACACCTAGAATTAGAGATTCATTACTAGAAAATCTTCTTGTTTACAAGACTATCGATCTCTCCTTACCCATTGATGGAAAACATGCACCCTTAATCCATTTCGTTGTGCCTACAGCATTTTCATATAATGGTACTTGGACAGAATCACTAATAGGGTTCGTTCCATTTTGAAGCCAAAGTCCTGTACCAGTGCCTTCGTTCTTGAGTTGAGCTGCATCGCGGTCTTTTCTACAGATGATGCTTGAATCGACGAAATAGGCCGTAAGTACGTACACATCAATGCCATTAATAGTGTCTAGATTGAACATTTTTTGAGTGGAAAATTTGTACCACTTGTCGGTGATCATTCTCGCTGGAATCTGTCAGCAAACACAAGAAACTTATTCGTGAGAAATTTAGAAGTCAGACACCTCTTTACCGCCATTTGAATTCCAGCAATGCTGCCCTGTCTATCGTAGACCAGAATGATACCAAGGTCTCCATGTTTTATATAACGGTGTCCGATAAATTTTCCTACGAGAACAAATGTCTATTACAATATTTGCGTATGACTACTCAAAATTTACCTTCGCATTGACCCCCAATAAGACTGAAACCATTCTCTCTTGCTTCGGCAATTGTACGAGGTTGTTCAACAAAATATTCTTTGTTCAGTGGATTTGGACTCCAGGTCGCTTTCAACGCATTCCAAGCCACTTCTGAACCACCGCCGAACAGGTAGCCATACGGAGTGGAAATAAAAATCTACTGGTATACTTCTTTCTTCAATACATCCTACTTACAGGTACTAATAAAAGTGAAGTAGAAAACGATCAAACACTTTATTCTGGCACTGCAAATATCACATGGAGGCATCAGTAATGCGGGCTTTCTATAATATGTTCCACCTACGATTATCATTTGTGAGTGTTAACGAAGCATCCATCGATGCCAAGCTACGTATTGAGTATTGGTATCAATTTTGAGGTATTAAATTTCTATTGATATCATGATTAAGTATTAAGGGTATCAGCGTATTGACATTGATGAAGCATTACTCTTGACGTTTTTGTTTCGACGCTATTGCGTTAATGCTTTGCTCCCCACATTATACTGATGTAAGTCACGAAGTGCAAAATGAAAAAGATTAATCTCTTTTCCAAGATTCTACAATTTCGACTAGATTATTTCAATTATAAAAGTATCAGAGTGCTGCAATCAATGGTAAAACAAAATTATCGGACATCTGGCAGGCTTCCATAAATGAATGAAGCTCTCAACACAATCATCGGAACTGGACACAACGAAAGATTGATCGATGATCCTGATGTCATGTTCAGTTGATCATTAGTTCAACTATCTACCGAACTTTCGTATTGATGACACGAATATTATAAGGTATCGTACTAAAGCGAGTATCAGAAATCGAGTGTGTAAACCAATCAAAACCTTTGATCTGCTGTATATTTTGATATTTTGGAGGATGCGGGTGTGGGTATGAATATATATTCTCTTAACCGATACCCACATCCACACCCACAAATACTTTATGTCTATTGATGCCAACATTTCTTAATGATAATAATCAATATTAGAAACAATGACCTAACGCTTTTTCTTATCCTAATTTGATAATCAATTAAAGAGTTTTAGAAAAATCTTTTCATTGTGACTTAGAAAATTAAAAAAAAGGAAAGATTCTTTGAGATATTTTTGAAATAAGGTGATATTAATCAAATTATAAGGATGTGGATGTTGATGTTTTGTTGACACATCTCCAAATCCACACTCACATTGGATAGGATTTATTCTGAACGCTATCTTGAGAATCGAAGTTGAAAATCTCATAACCTCTTCATTTTTTCTCATTTTTCTCGATCAAAAACATGAACATGGGCTCTGAGGTGCTCTCTACCTATCTACCTAAAAAAACGTAAAACACCGGTTCTGAATATGCCCATTATGGTTATTATGATCAAAGTTTCTATTTTTGTTTATTAATTACTATCATGTCAGGAGATATTTCTCCTGATACAGAAATATTCTTTCTTCTTCTATGGCATCATTACATCATGCTTATCAGCATTCTTTCTCTTTCTTCTATGGTATTTTTTTTCTTGCGATATCAGGAGAGGCATGAAACTGAAAAGGAGCATATCTACTTTTTTTTCTTTTTTTTTGTTGGTTTTTTTATCTAAATAAAAGAAAGGGTTTAGCAAGTGCATTTTACTATTTTGATTACTGTTGCATCAAAATAGAGGATTCAAACAAGTTAATCTTACCAATTCTGATAATAAAGATGCTCTACTCACTGATACAAAAATTACTAATTAATATTTTTCTCACGATATGTAAAGATATATAGAATGAAGTTCAAGTTTTCCAGCTATTTTGACTGAATGTTCATATTGGTCCCACTCTATGCAGCATATATCCAAAGTTCTTCAATATGAAACTATTGTGTAAAAACAAAGGAGATTCTAGAAAACTAGTTACCAAATGAATTACTGGAAGTCTTTTTTAGGTTTTTAGATAGATATGCAGAGAACATTTTAGGGTGCACGAGAATGTTCTTTGTCCGAAAAAAAAATGACAAAAAATAAGAAAGTTATGAGACTTTAAACTTCGATTTTTGAAAAACTGTTCAGAATAGCCGCGATCTAGGCTACATAATTTATAGTAAGCATGCAGCATTATATAATTGATAGGAAAAAAGTCATTCATTTCTTGTAAATTACTTTCTCCTTATGTTTTATTAGTAATATACATGTTAAAGATTTATTTATTCTAAGTTTTTATTTCTTGATCAGTTTCAAATAAACTTCAAGTCCTTTTAAATAGTTCAAAAAAAAAATCAAAAATAGTAGATCGACACATAAAGAGGACAGTCAAGTGTTACGGTTGACTAACGAAACTATCGAAAGAAAAAGATGCTTACGCAGTTTGACCTTGGCAAGAAGATTTTTCAATGCTTATTTTCCTTATTATTTTCATTCGCGATGAAATAGTTCACTTTTAAATTGATTTTCTATTGATACATACATTCAAGTTTTAGTTTTTCATGATTTATTACCTACAATAATATTTAATTTCTTTGTAATATGTAAGACTATCATTATCTTTAATACATGTTTTCGAGAATGTCTTATTTAGGGATCATCAGATGATGCAATTTATATTTTTATTACTTTATCCAATAGTTTTCGATCGCACTAGCTTTGCTTGAATTTTTCAAAAGTTCATTTATATCTTGTGATCATTGTGTTTATTATTGTTAGGAGTGGTATATTATTTCTAAATTGTTTTCTTAATCAATAATCA